ATATATAACAACAAACTTCTTACTAGGAATGTCTGATATTGACTTTTTGCCGATATCCAATGTGCTGATATTGTTCAAACGCTTTCTGAGTCAGATATGAACCGATACAGATATAGGCCTGGCAATATTTATCTGTACAAACCATTGTATGAGTTGCTGGTACCAAAAACCACCTGATTATTAAAATTAATAAATTAAATGAGCTGCAATGCTGCCATCTTGTGACTTTCCCTTTGACATACAGCCATTTTTCCCCAAAACAATTTTTAGGGCACACGGCATTTGACCAAACCCACGTATTGTTCGGAGGAAAAACCGATAACTATTCTTACAGATGTTACATAATTATGCTAATATTGGGCCGATAATATCAAATTTAAAAGCGGAAATAGAATAGTTGTATTCATATGTTGATTGGCTAAAGTCAGTCTCCTTCTGTAACTTGTTCATCAATGTATCTTTACCACATAAATGTTACGCAATAAAAACTTCTGTCCCATTCAGTGGGAGAAGAGCGTGAGCAGCGATGACGAGGAGGAGACCACGGAGAAAACCGTGAAAGGTCAGAGACGCATCATGTGACCTGCCTGTTAAGACATTGTCATGTGACCTACCCTCCAATTAAACGATGTCATGTCCCTCCACCCGGACAGGAAGCAGCGAGGACGTCCGCAGTGAGACGTCAGGGGAGAATGAGGAGGCGGCAGTGCTGCTCCAGTCTGACAAGTCTGTGGAGGGACTACCAGAGGCCAGGAAGAAGACCAGTCCAACTGCATCATGGGTAATGTCCCTCAATGTTTTCTGTGTTCTGAGTCTCTGTGTACCGGCCTCTCAGCTACTGTACCTTGATGTCTGTTTCTTTTTTTTGATGCAGGAGGAACAAAAAGAAGATTGTTTCGTGTCCAGGAATCGTCCACACTTTTGCTATCGCAGGTGAGTGAAGATCCACTTGAACTTTAAAGAGGACATGATGAACTCTTTCAGCTAATTTCCTGTCGGTTTTTCCTAAACAGGAAGCGGGCCCTGAGGACAAAGTTTGTCAGTAGGGATTATACAGTCGGTGCCATTGATGACAGCAGCGGCAGTGACATCATAGAGTTTTCAGAATGAAGTTCTCATGTGATTTAAGTGTCACAGATAAATTATGCAGTAGATATTAGTAATATTAAAGTCTGATTACTGCAGTACTGTAAAATGTGGCTAGGAGCATATTTATACAAAAATAAAAGTCATTTGATACACCTTTGTGTGCTAACATTTGTAAAGTTACAAATATATTTTTTCCAATATTTTTTGTGTTCTGAAACAATCTATACATTTAATTTTTTTATACTAAATTTGAGTGCAACCAACGCAAATTTGCCTTTGAAAAACCAGTATGAATGCAACATGAACGTTATACGATTTCACAATCACAATAAGTATCCCTAATGAAAGATTCGACTTAACTGATTTATTTCAATTGCTATTTGCAAGATTTATGCGGATTTTGTTATATTTGTAATTTTAATCATGTTTTTTCGAGAAAACTTTTGAAATAGGCCTCAAAAACATTAACAAACGTTACATTACGTGCGTTTGCGGCATGAAGATTTACGACTTTCTACCCGTACCACAAACGCCTCACAGAGTCCGTTGTCACGGAGATGGAAAAACGTCCCGATGGTTTTTTCCCCCCACGTAACTAATGCTAAGCAGAAAAAAAATACGGACTACAGTATGTACCGACAGAACCAGCGGAACCGAAAGTGCAGTTCGGTCATTAGTGTCAGTGAAAGCAGAACGATACCGAGCGGGAAGATTTATCGGCAACTGTTCGACGCTCAGGTAAGTGTCGTCAGTGAAAGTCCTTCGAAATTCGTCTGTCAAGTAACGAAAATGCAGATTTTATTTATTTTTTAAAATTGTATCTCTGCCCTAGGTTCAGCTGTCCAGGTCACTGCTGGCTGGACGAAGGGACGTGAGGACAGAATGTCTGACTCCTGATAGCAACACACAGTGTAGCACTGCAAGCAGGTAGACAGTGATGGTGACACGATGACAGAAGTACTGAGGTGGACTTATTGGTACTTACTGTATGTCTTTCTTAGTAGTGATGTGTCGTTCGCGAGTGATTCGTTCAAAATGAACGAATCTTTCATATGACTCGTGACTCCCGAGTGCAAACGAATCTCTTTCTGTGAACTAATCTTTCGCCGTGAACTAATCTTTCGCCGTGAACTAATCTTTCGCCGTGAACTAATCTTTCGCCGTGAACTAATCTTTCACTGTGAACTAATCTTTCGCTTCGTTCTCGCAGATTCGTATCATTTGTCACGTGACAGGGAGCTCGGGTCTTTTTTGCTCTCATTCATCTTCACATTGTGGTGTGTTTTTATTTCTTAGCTTTTCACATGGTTTTAATTACTTATGGCATTTTGTGTACTTTGCAGACTTTGTCAGCGGAAGCAAACCATGTTGCCTTCAGTATTTAGTGAGAACCGCAGCCTTCTTTACAACGCCCACATTAGGGCTAAAGCGCCACCTGCTGTAAAACGAATGAAATGATTAGTTCAAGATTCGTTCACGACTCGTTCATTTTACTGTTCGAGAGTCAAAGATTCGAACTAATAAAAAAGAGTTGGTCTTCCCATCACTATTTCTTAGTAATGTCCCTCTCTGTCTGTCTCTCTGTCTGTCTGTCTCTCTGTCTGTCTGTGTCTCTGTTACGTACACACAGACTGTGTTCATCCTCCAGCAGCAGGAAGCAGATGAAAGTTGATGAGTCTGATGATGTTCACCAACTTCCATCCACTGTTGGTTCGTATTATATTCAGTGGCATTGTCTCCTAACCATTCTGACAGGGGTGTCAAAACAATGAGCTGTGGTCCACTGCTGCACCTGTCCTTTTAATGGAGGCCCACATCAAGGGCTTAAGGAACCTTAATGAAAAGAGATGTTTTAGAAAAAGTATTTTTAGGAATGTCCGATACGCAAAACCGAGGGAAACGTCCTATTATTAAGTTTTTATTATTGGAACAAAAACCGATAATTATTTCCGCAGATATTAAATAATTATGCTAATATTGTGCTGATAATTTCGGTCGGCAGATTTTATCTAACAGCTGGAAATTTTGCTTACTCTATCACAGTACAGTGCAAAAAGCTATATTTTTGCTAGCATTTTAATAATTGGGAAAAAATTATTAAAATTTAGTCCCCAGGCCAGGAGCTTGACCCATAATTTCAGGTGAAAGTTGTTTGTGTTTTTTGGGTTTTTTTTCAGAATGCTACAACTGTGGTACTGCCCACCCACATCACTTTCATTCGTCTTGTCTTTCACAGCGGTCAATGCTCCGAGATCTGACATCAATGAACGTCTGGCAGAGAAAAAACAAAAAAAACACAACAGATGTTTGAAACAACTGGACTCTGGACTGAGAGAAGCTGCTAAGGTTCCTGTAACATAGTACATGCTGTAACATAGTACATGCTATAACATAGTACAGGCACACAGACATTACATGAGTTTAGTTTTCTTACATATATTTCTACATTATTATAGATGTTATATTCTCTCACATCCATTCTACTAACTTGTTCTAATTTGATTTGTTTTTCTGCCAGGAGTGTGAGGCTAAGGTGAGGATAGTCAGCGAGGAACTGCTGTCCTTCCTGCAGCAGGTGGACCTCAGGTTGGACATACTTAAAGTCAAAGTTGATCAACTGAAGGACCTGGATGATGTGGATTTGCAGGTATTTGTGTCAATGATTATGATGTGTTTTATCATCTGAAGGATTTGTTCTGTTCAATTTAGTGATTAAGTAAAAAATATACTGGGTATTTACCATATTATCTGGACTATAAGTGACACTTTTTTCATACTTTGCCTGGGTTTGCGACTTATGTGACTTAAATATTAAAATGTATAATTTCACGTTTTTTATTTTCACACTGACAGCCGCTAGAGGGCACTCTCGGCTTGCACACTAGTACTTGCTACTCCTGTAAAATAAATTATCTAAACTAACTCCTGTAATTTGCACTTTTTTTCATCCTTTGGCTGGTGCGGCTTATACTCCGGAAAGTCCGGAAAATACGGTACTTGTATCCTTTAGTACTGATTATGTTCATGTATGTTGGTAGACATTCAGAGGTCTCTGGGAGCAGTTGGAGAAGGAGGTGAAGCTGAAGCAGATGAAAGTCACGGAGACAAACAATCAGCTGAGGGACTGTGAGACACAGCAAATCAAAAAGGTTGGACAGAGTTCATCCATTATGCTTTTTTTTTACATTTTTCAACCATGTTTTTATTTACTCAGTGCATGACAGGGCATTCTATTGCACAGTTAGTAAGTTTTATAGTCAGTTGTCTTAATGAGGCTGATAATTAATACTGAACAAACAATCTTTCAAACAGAGGTTACATTTAAACCAGGGGTGGCAAACACATGGCCCGCGGGCCAAATCCGGTCTGTTTGGGTGGTTCAATATGGCCCACTTGCTGAATGTTGAAAATGGAAAAAATGCACAAATACTGCATGTTAATGATGTTTTGTCAAATATATCATTTTATTATTTCATATTTTGTTTTTTCTTCTAATGTATTTGTACTTATTGACATGAAAACAAAAGGGAAAAACATGGACTTATTGTCATTTATAGGTGATTATGTTGGTCCGGTCCCACTTGACATCTAATCAATTTGAATGTGACCCCTGAACCAAAATGAGTTGACACCCCTGCTTTAGACAATGTTGGAGTGTGAGAACTCAAGTAGCCATCACATGTGCAGTAATGTGATCGCAGCTGTCAATCAGGAGGCACAATCAGCCAGCACTCCTTTTATTACACTTATTTTTTTACAAATTGTTTTTAATGTCAATTAGTGGATATTTCAGGGGACCCCATTTGAATTCTAGACCCGCCCAAGTGGGGTCGCGACCCTAAAGTTGAAAAAGACCGCATTAGACAATAGCAGACAGATTCAGGATCAGTTCTAAAGTCTGCTTCTAACTGTAGCTCAGAACGTTGCTCCAGAAATACTGCACAGCGCTGGAGAAGATCAGCTTCCTGCTGCTACCCGACATCCACAGGCTGGTCCACAGTGAGGCCATGGTATTTTATGAACTCTTACACACACAGTGACCAGGTTGTCATCTGCTTGATGACTTGAACGGTAACAGTTCTCGGCCATGTGTTATTCAGATGTTGAACCAATCTCTGTTGGCAAACCGCCGCAGCGTTGCCCGTCTGGTCCTGCTCCTCCAGGAGGAAATCCTGCAGCAGGAGTCGTTCCTCCATCTGCACTGGGAGGAGTGTTTCAGCAGCTGGAGGAAGAACAGAATCACACAGATGGTTGAACACTTCAGGTGAGTGGAGAACTATTTCATTCAGTCCAAACCAAGTGTTGATCAAATCAAGGTGGAATTCAGAGACCCGGAGTTTTTCATCATGTGGTTCAGGGTTAGTTGTCTCTGTCTTGAAGGAGTCTCTGCAGCAGTGATGTTGATCAACAGCTGATCCAGGTTCAAACTCTGCAGCACCTGAGCGAACGACGTTGTGATGTTGTCTCCAGAATCAGGTGACAAGTTTGTCATTATATATATTATAAATTATATATAATAGTTCTGTCCAGTTGGTGTCACTGATTACTTTTCTTTGAGCAGTTTTGTTTGAATGTTTTAGCTCTCTAGCGCCACCTAACTGCTCAGCTGCTCTGGTCTCTGAATGGTTCAACCAGCTAACAGCTATTAATCAGCAGATTGGTACCTGCACTTTATATCTTAATAAAATAATCAAAAAATATTTTCAGTCCTTCTGAGGGCTAAAATGTTGCGATGAATTTTTTTCTTGTTTATTTTCAGACAGTCTTCAGAACGATTTCCTCCTCCAGCTCCGATGCTGTTGTCAGCAGAGATGGGAACAACGGTTGACTGAAGCGGAGAGTTGTAAGGTAGGGTTAGGGTCTGGTCATTGACTTTACATCATCGTCCTGTGTCTGTTGATGACATACTCCCTGTCATGTATACAACGTTGACTGCAGGTGGCGCTCTCAGACTTGCAGCTGTCAGACGTGGAGGTGGAAGATGTTGTCAACTCACAGCTCCTCCCTTTGATTGGACAAGTCCAGAGACAGGATGAAGAGCGATTGGCTGCTTTGGATGTCCGTCAGACAAATACGACTTCATCAGCATTTATGCTTTATTACAACGTGTCACTTCATTAGGAACAAGACATGGGGGCTCGCGTTTACGACTTGGACTTGAGTTGCACACACAAAGACTTAAGATTTGACTTGTACTCTGATTCTGGGAGTATTTTTGTTGTGTTTACATCGTGGGAACTTTTTTGTCATGGTAACCATGGGTACCATACTATGCGCGTCCTCACCTCACATACTTAGATGATGGTAACACAGTGGTAACTGACACACCAGCAGTCAACTCTGTTATATTGGCAGCAGACAAAAGAAGAGACTTGAGACGAGACTTGACTTGGACTCGGGACCAAAGACTCGAGACTTGATCAGGTCTCATCTCATAAAGACATGAGATTTGACTTGGAGTTGTGACCAAAGACTTGACAAAAGACTTGAGACTTGATCAAGTCTCACCTCACAAAGACATGAGATTTGACTTGGAGTTGTGACCAAATACTTGAGACTTGAACAAGTCTCACCCTCCACAGACATGACTTGACTTGTATTGAAGACTTGAGACATGAACAAGTCTCACCTCACTAAGACTTGACTTGGACTTGTTACCAAAGACCTGAGACTTGAATTGGACTTGGCAAAAAAGACTTGTGAACATCTCTGGTAGGCACAACAGCTAAAAGTCACAATTACATTATAGCCCAACCTAATTAGCTCTATGATGTCATCAACAAAAGTTATCTAGCTCTTAGACACACAGGAGAGCCACATAATTGTTTTTGTTAGCTACAAAAACACATTTTTTGACAGTTTTTGAGACACACATTATTTAAATATAGCCTACAGCTGTGTCTTAGTTATGACTGCACATCATCTCCTACCTGTCTCTCCACAGACTTCCTGTGACTCTACGGCACGTCATGCTCACCGTCTTAGCTTTTGTGTGTTTGCCGTGATACGAGGAGCAGCCAGTATCTGGGAGATGCACAACCAGAGGATGGAGGGAAGAGAAAAGGACATGCAGCAGCAGCTGAACGACCTCTGGTGTTCACAAATGGAACGCACACGGGTTGGTTCAACCGTCACGAGGGGTACCCCGCAGGAAATTGGGGTTTCCCATAATACTTTGCTGCTGTGCTTTCAGGGTAAGAAGTTGGTCTTGGATGAACTGCTGGCTGGACTCCGTCAGGAGAGCAACGAGGACGCTCTGGAAACGTCTCTGGATAAAACTGTCCTCTGTCTGCAGAACATCAGAGACAGGTACGGCAGGACACAAACCCACATGAAACTCAGATTGTTACTGTTTTCGAACAAAAGTTTTGGCATTTAAAAAAATTAAATGTCAGGCAGAGCGAAGTGGGCGGAGTCAAGTGAAGTAGTAGATCTGAGAAACTCTCTATGTGTCTCCGTGTGTCCAGCTACTCTCAGTGCGCCTCTCAGCAGTTTGAGTTGCTGGATCAACTCCCGTCTCTCTTCCTGGACGAGCTTCTCTCCTACAGCAGCACTCTCAGCTCATTCTACCAGCTGAAGGACAAATTTGTCCCCGTAACTACTTCAACCACACATTGTACTTTTTTTCATTTCCTTCATCCTCATCTTTCAACATTTTCTTTGTCGACCTCTTCAGGATCTGGAGTTACTGCAGAAGTTCCACTTATCGTGTATTGAGTCCAGCAGCCTGGGTCAGTATGGTCCATCTGGTGCAGAAATGTCGTATTTTTATTTTTATTTGTTTGTTTTTTTTCTCACATCATAAATCTGTTTTGATTTGCTTATACAGTGACCAGTGAAATAACTAACACTGAGAAACCTCAGGTGGAGACAGACAACCATCCGACCAGCCTTCACGGAAACACTATCCCGACCGAGTCCTATCAGGATTGGTTGTCTAAGGTGAAGCGCTTTTTATTTCTTGATTGAAAAACCTATTTGTTAATGATCCAAAAAAAGTATCTTTTTTATGTATTTCAGGCAGAGATCTCACTACAAGAACTCTATGACATCAGCAGTAACATCACCTTTGAATCATCGAGCGGTAGGACATACACTGGTCCTGTCTTCAGGTGCCCTGAGCCTGACCTACAGCTGGGAACGCACCTGAGTCTGTTCCCTGTGGAGCTGCTCACACACACAATGAACAGGTCTATACACACACACACACACACACACACACACAAATACATGTACATACACATACACATACTAAACACAAACCGTGTCCAGGACTAGGAGTCTCTTCTTGGACAACCTGGAGCAGCACGTCCACGATGTCCTCAGCTCAGCTGTTGTTACAGTAAAGGACAGGAAGGAGGCAGTGATGTTGGACCATGAGCTGCAACTCCAGCTGCTGGACACCCAACACATCCAGACCCACGTTTATCAACCACGTCTAGGTAACTCCCTCACATATGTTTTAACTTCCACGAGACAGATACAGACACCATGTTAAAAAACAGAGAAAAATTAGGTTAATAGTTGTGGTTGGAATACCTATGACGGTTAAAAATATTTTTTACTATAGGCAGTTTGCAATTATTAATATACATGTTTAAACCAATAATCATTATCTTGAGTATAAGTATGTTTAAAATGCGCCATAACGTGTCATACATAGCTTTCGGCTAATCGTGCTACTAGCCTCCTAGCTTCTGGGGAACTAGAAACAGGCGCTAGTCCAGTCAGGGCAGAAGCGCAGCCAATAGCTGACCTGTTGCTGACAAGATATATGCGCATGTATCCAATCAGGGTTGTCGAATATGATGGCTTAACGGCGATTAATTTGTCGCACCAACCGATTCTCTCGGTGACGGAGTGGATATCTAAAGTACTAACGCACCATTTCATGAGTTCAGCTGTGCACTTCCGCCACAAGGGGTCACTGGTGCTTACACGCTTAACAGTCTTGTGTGTAATGTAAAGTTCGTTTACATGTTCAGTTTCAAAATCCAAACTTGTGTTTTTGTAATATTCTGTTTATGTTTTTGTGTAAAAATGCCTCAAATTTCTAATACTGGCATTACATATTTTATAATCTAATCTAATAAATCTAATTATCTACTGTTTGTGTTCAATTGTATTGAGATATTTAATGAATCTGGCTGAATATGGCACCTGCTGTTAACACAACAATTTTGGTGTGGGATCAATAAAGTTTAAATTATTCTTCTTATGTATCCTTGAGGTTGGTTCTTCTCTTTGTTTGTTTGATATTTTTTAATGACCTTTCCCTTGTCTTCCAGCTGAACTGCAGCTTCATCGCCAACAGGTGGAGCGCCATTGTTCTGAGGTATTAGATTTGTTGACCTCATGCAGGACAGGGCTACAGGCACTGCAGGCATCTGTCAACCAGCAGAACAGCGAGTTCACCACCAGGCTGTCCAAAATGGAGAACGACATCCTGACGGCCAATAGAGGCCAACGGTAACAGCTGCAGATTGATGACATCTCTGACCACCAAGTCGGTCGTTTATCACAGTCGCCTCTTTCTCTGCAGATTGGAGATCGAGAGCTTTTCCTTCCAGGAGTGTCTGGATGAACACATCAAACACACCCAGAGCTGTCAGTCCACCTTCAGGGAGATGGTCCAGCGCAGCCTAGAGAAGGTCAGAACAAAAACGGCCGACCTTCTGAGCTCCTTCAGGTAATGGCTGAAAACCAGTGCAGTCATGTGACAGAAAGGACTTGCTGGCGGTGAACCTGTGTGTTACTCCTCCTGCAGGTTGTTCAGTGAAGGAGGTGATTTTGCTCCTCAGGAGTTGAAGACGTTCCAGAGGAGACTAAAGGAGCAATCCAAACAAATTAACACGACAGAGCAGGCGATCCGCTCTGAGCTGGAAGTGTTTGAGTCTAAGAGTCTACAGCAGGTCAGCTGACCTCCATCACAGCAGTCTGAAAAGAGATGTTTTTTTTTAATGTTCCTAAAGACGTGTATTCTCCTGAAGGTGAAGAAAGTGTCTGATAAGGTTGAAGAAACTCTCTCTGTCTGGAAGTCTGAGGTGAAGTTCACTGAGAAGGTGGAGGAAATTATCAGCAGTACACGGATACAGATCAGAGCTGAGGTACTCATCTGACCTCTCTGTGTGACCTTTCTTCCCGGTGATTTGTGTCTGGGAAAGAAACACCCAATCATAATGTAAAAGGGGCAGCAGTGGCTTGGTGGTAAGAAAGGGGGACTTAGGTCCAGAAGGTTTCAGGTTCGAATCCACAAACATGTCATGTTACCAGTGAGGTACACTGAGTATGGCTTTGTCCCCACATACTGAAATTTTCTTTTTTAAATATTTAAAATCTAAAAAAGGGGTAATCTGTGTTTTCATGTCTGTGTGTGGCATTTGCACATCAGCTGTCATTTAACGTACGTCCCTGATCTGTCTCTCTGTCTGACCCGTGTCTCATCTCACCCTCCTGCCTCACCAGGCTGCCAGCTGTAACCAGCAGCAGTCAGTGATCAGCAGCAGGTTGGAGGATGTGAGGAGGATGATGGAGGACAAGCAGGTACAAAGTAACAACACCCTATATGTACCAGCCCACATGTACCAGTCCACGTGTACCGGCCCGTGTACTGAATGTGTTCCACTGTGTGTACCTCTGACCTCTGTGTCCAACTACAGGTGTCTCCAGATCAGATTTGTTGTCTCGTGTCTTCAGCTGGAGAGGACATGAGGAGGTACTCTCAGGACCTGGACTTTGAACAAGTGAGTCACTGCACGTGTATATGGATGACCTTTTGGTCCTTTTTACCACCAGTTAACTATTCTGACCATACTCTGTCCTTTTGGCGTCCCTGCTGTCACTCTGGCTTCACTGCAGTGCAACCACAAGAATCTCCAAAAGTTACATATCTGTGTTCATTTCTATTTTTTATTTATTTACAGAAAGTCAGCTCTCCATCATCCCAGGCAAAGACCTGGAGACATGAACGGTCCACCTCGACTCCCGGTCCGCTGCAGCCCAGCGGGCCAGCTGTAGCCATCGTGGACGACGCTGCTGCAGACGTGATCAAGTTCCTGAATGAGTACGGAACTACAATCAGAGTTTCAAGCAGCGGTTTGTGACAGAACGTGAACAAAGAATGACAATTTTTTTTTTCCTTTTCTCACAAAACATCAGCTTGACCCTGGTCCAGGAAAAGTCAGCAGAGACGGAGCAGAGAGTGAGAACAGGTCTGAGGAGAGCTCAGGATTTCATTCATGGTTTTTCAGCTGGTTCCTGTTGTGTGAAATACCAACCAAATGTTTCAGTCTCCACAGGTCGGAGTTCTGTCCAACAGCAGCAGAAGAGCAGTGCCTCTGTTAGTTCAAGGAGGTACTACATGCTAACACATACCATATGCTAACACTCGGAGGGCGATGGCAGTAAAAGACTCACAGTAACTAATGAGTTTTATTGGTTCACTGTCACGTTGACGAGTCTTTGTTTGTGTTTGGCTGCAGGTCCATCACGACTGACCGTAGGTTTCAGATTTTTGGACCAGAACCAGAACACGAACCACAGTATGTTTTCACATGCATTTTCATACGACTACAATATGCAGTTTTAAAATCAGTATTTTATTCTATTAGATTATATTAGTGAATAAATATTTATATTACTTTTAATAATAATAATAAATTATCAATATTGTTTTTAATGTTATTTTTACTATTCATATGGTGTGGAGTCTGTACTTTCTGTTCCTTTATTCCTGTTTGTGGATGTTTGTGTCCCAGGTCTTTCATGTCCACAGTTAACTTCGTGCTGTGGAAAACCAACAGTATTCTCCTGCAGGTGGCAGAGGTGAGAGACAATAAAAAGACTAACTATTCAACCCTTAGATCTTAGATTTTGTTTTTACAATTTTTTCATTCCTCATCTTTTTCTTTGTCTGTCATCCCCTCAGGACTTTTATCAGAGGGAGCGTCACGCCAAGTTCCACCTGCTTCCAGACACTTTGGACCTCTGGGCCGAGAGCACGCAGCAAAGGCTGCTGGGATACCAGGAACAGGCCGTAAAGCTTGTGAACGTTAGCAGAAGAGGTAATGGATTACCTCATGAATGATCCCCCCTTTGTTTACGAGTGAAGTTAAAAGTTCAAATTTTGGACATCTCTTTTTTTTTTACCTTCCTCTTACCATGTTCCTTATTTTCCAGGTCTGGAAAACCAGGAGGCCATTTTCAAGGACCTGCTTCGTGACTTCCCTTCAGTGTTGATCAGCAACTATGGACAGAAACACGAGGAAGAGCTCACACAGACGGTGTGTGAAATCAGACAGAACCTGGAGGTGCATCTGGCCAACAGTGAGCAGGAGAAGGTGAGAATATAAAAGACAGTCTGGACACAAGGACACGGTCGTCCAGGTCCTGGTCAACCCGTCCAACCACAGACATTGTGTTTTTTTCAGAAGGCCAATGTTCAACAGCTGAGAGCATCACTCAGAGGAGACAGGCTGCTGACTGTGGTGAGCCGAGAGGAGGAGAGACAGAAACAACTTCACAGCACCATCTGCAGCTCTCATTTGAAACTACAGGTGAGCTGTGTGTCTGGCAGAAAACTTTTACCTTATTTTTTCCAGACTATAAGGATGAAAAAAAGTGCGATTTACAGGAGTAGCAGATACTGGTACACAAGCCTAGAGTGCCCTCTAGCAGCTGTCAGTATGAAAATAACAAACGTGAAATTATATATTTTAATATATAAGTCACACTTGAGTATAAGTCGCAAACTTAGCCAAAAGATGAAAAAAGTGAGACTTATAGTCCGGAAAATACGGTACATGGAGAAGAACTGGCAGCTGGGAAAATCCAAAAATCCAAAATCCAAATGTGTTCCCACTAATAAAATAGACGCACAGTTCCCCTCCCAAGTGGTGGGGACTGCTGCAGCACATTAATCTGTCCCCACACACTGCTCCCCGGTGCTTGAGCTTCCCCCCTCCCCCTCTGATGACTTGCGTGATGGGTTAAAAGCTGAGGTCAAGTGGAACAAAGCCAACGTCAGAACTTTGTGTTCTTGCAGGATTGTCTTCAGAACCAAGGTAGCATCCTTAACAGAGAGGCTGTTCTGTCTGCTGAATGACCTTTCCGAACCTGCAGGTAACCTTTGACCATTTCACCCCTGTCTGAGGGGTCAGCAGACTTACATGACTTGGAATGATACAGTACATAAAGCATCAGCGTGGTTGTTTTTGTAGAAATGACCCCAAAATCACAGCAGCAGTCGGAACACACTGTTACCATGGAAACGTCATCAAACCCAAAAGAGAAAGCAGACCCAGGAAGCAGGTACGGTCAAGTCTGTGACATCACAACTGTGACATAACGGTGAACAGACTGAAACTATTCTGTTACACACCATTTGTACCAGGACATGGCCGGGTGTCCCAGTCCTGTTGTCTCTGAGCGACACAGAATCAACAACTACAGCATCGGTCACCACAACCAGGTGCACCATGGGACATGTGGCTCTTATAGAGCAGAGGGATGCCGTGGTGAAGGTATGGAGAAAACAAACTCATGAAGGAAACAGTAGTGTTAGCTTCACTCATTTACATTCCTGTGTCTCAGCGGTTTGAGCAGCTGTACAGGTCGGAATGGTCTCGGTCAGAGAGCGACAAACGAAAACAGCTGAGAGAAACAGAGACGTGGCACCATCACTGGACACAACAGATGCACACACTGGCGCACATCAGCACCGGGACGGCAGAGACTTCCTAAACATCAAACCAGTGACATACAGGTCAGGGAACACATTGCTGCTAAAGTGCTAGTCAGTATGCAATATACTTATACTTAAAAAACATATATACTGTACTGCAGGGTAGTAGATGGGATTTTTGAACCGGGGGAGCAAGATGAAATACCGCTATACAATAACTATAATAGATACACACATATACTGTATATATATATACTTAAATAGACACACATATAAATATATATAAATACATATGTAAACACATATATATACAGTATATATTTATATATATTATTTCTTTATATATACAGTACGTATATATTTGTGTGTGTATCTATTTAAGTCAACCAAACAAAGTATATACTGCTTGGACCGTACTTTAGTTACTTTAAACTCCACTCAGCTTCTTCCGTCTACAGGTATTAGAGGAAAGACACATGCCTTAAGTTTGTCTTAATTCCAGGACAAAAGTGTTTACTTCAAAATCTTCACAGATGCATTACAAACAACACACGACACATGGTGTCCCTCATATTGGTTTCAGTCTGTCCACAGGATATTGACACTGCCCAGTCAACCAGCCAATCAGGAACTAGTGTTCCTCCAACTTCTGGGAAGAGAGGGTGTCAAAGCTTCAGTCCATGATTGGGATGGTCCTTTCCTCTGGCAACCACGGCCTCATGACTACAGGACTGGTGGAGGAGTGGATGGTCTGAAATGGCTCAGGACTCTGGGTTGATGTTTGATATCTTGTCAATGGACTGAAGAAGCTGGGAAACCAAATGGAGTGTCTCCGCTTCTCCCAACAGCTGCCTGAAAACAGAAAATAAACAAACTGTGTGTATGTGTATATGTATGTATGTGTATATATGTGTGTGTGTGTATATATATGTATATATATATACATATATATACACACACACACATATATACACATACATACATATACACATACACACATATATACATACAGTACATACACATACATATACACACATTCATACACACACACATATATATAAACACATATTAATGATTGCCTGAAGGGAACTCCCATGGAATTAATATAGTTCTATCTATCTATACTGTATATAAAATACACTGTAATATCTGTACACCATGGCGTGTGTGTGTTGTGTGTCTGTGATGAAAACTACTGACCGTATGTAGGTGTGGGCGTTAACTGCCGTCCTATTCAGGTATTCAGACGCCACCTGTGCATTTTGTCTCATGGTCACGATGGCCTGAGACTCTTCTAACTTCAGACTGTGGTTCTCGGACCGCAGAGAATCCACTTCCACCTAATACACACATATATTTTGTTCTGAATATTTGATCTGTTTTAATTTTTAAAAAGTTCTTTAAAAAAAGATTGATTACTACACACTCAATCCGAATTTTCAGTGGCTTTTTCCAACATTCTGGTCCTACCTGCAGTTGCAGAAGTTCCGCCTTCAGTTTGGCAACAGTGTTCTCAGCCTTCAGTGCTCGCTTCTGCAATTAAACAGACAACTTTAAAATTGTTTTTCTTCTTTTACAAAGTAATTGAATTGTTCATGGTACAGCAGGGGTGTCAAACAAGGTTAACATTTGTTTAACACAAAATTAGTATACATCATTACAAAACATTATTGGTAAATACATGTAAATGTACGCTTGATTACGATTGAAATTCAAGAAAGAATAATTGTGAAATACGGTATTTTACCCATCCAGAAACAATAAGTAAAAGACATTTATATAAGGACAACCACACTCATGATAAACTCCGGTGGGCCGAATAAAATGATGAAGTGGGCCACATTCGGGCCATGATCCTGGAGTTTGACTTATGCCTGCCTAAAGCTTTAACTCCAATAGACTCCTCTCTCTCAGCGCAAACAACTCAACCGCACAAACCGTCATCAGGTGGAGGTTCTGCTCCACAGACTGGACCATGCTCTCTAGGTCCTGTGCCTCCTTCTCCTCTCTACGCCTCCTGTGAAGCAGCTCCTCAGACAGCTCCATCAACCTGACGCAAATGCATGATGTATTGAAAATTGGAATATTTTTTTACCTCCATCATTATTCTGCTGTGATCTGCCCACCTGCGTTCATTGGCCTCTGAGTTCCTCTGCAGTTCATGGATGCTCCTCTTCAGCAGCAGGTTCTCCTCCTTCAACTGGTCAACACACACATCATACACACACGTCACCGTAGTACTATGAATTGAATATTTAAATTAATGTCACAATATGCAAAGCATAAACGAATAGTTAAAATTGTAATGTTAAGTATTTAACAACAAGCTAATGCTAAAGCTAAAAACAATGGAGAGTTGTACTTTAAGTGTATTACTGTGTACAATCTCCGCTACGCCGCTGTTACCTGTTGTATTTGGTTGCTCCTCCCACTCCTCCTCCTGCAGGAGGTGCCTGGTTCGGCCATTGAGGTCTCATCGTCTCCTTCGTAGTTCTCTCCTCCACCTTTCTGGTGGACATCTGGTTTGGAGGAGAACCTGTTCCATGAGGGGTGGGTGGGGGGCGAGAGTATTAGTGGGTGCTTTTGAAAAAATGAAATACTAGTGAGCGCCTAATGTGACTAACCTTGTCTCTTCTTCATCATCATCCTCCTCTGTGAGGAGGGAGGAAGTGCTGTCTACGCCAGACTGGAAGCTCCGCCCCCAATCCTCCTCTTCTTCCTAATTCAGTAAAAAACAGAAAAAATATTTGTTTCTGGTATTTATTTATTTATTTACTTAAAATAGTTTCACAGTCACGTTCCTCAGTGACCATTTGATCTGGCAATCTGTGATTTACATATACTCTGATTGGACCTGACATTTTAAACCGTATGATGTCACTACCTGTGGTGCCACAGAAGACTCGCAAAAAAACCCGACTCCATTGTCAGGGTCAAAGGTCGAGGTCCCGACATTAAAAATATCCTGAGAGCAGTAGAATCACAGACACACCAGTCAGACAAACGGTAGCTCTGAGATTTGGGCCTTAAATTCCGTGACTTCAGTACCTGGCTGTGAGCCTGATTGTCCTGGTCCAGGTCCAGGTCTTTCCAGCGTAGAAACTCCCTTAAGGAGAACGGGTTTATCTCCTCATGTCGCACCTCCTCATCTGAAAGAGGAAGCAGATGGACATCAGCATTTGCTTTTTTTTCCCAAGATGTAAGAAAAACGTAAACGTAAAAACATTTATAATATATGCAGCCCTTATATAATCTAACAACATTTGACTGTAGAGCTAAGTAGTAAAAAGGCTGTTAGCAGTAGTGATTTTGTTTGCGAGTGATTCGTTCAAAATGAACGAATCTTTCATATGACTCGTGACTCCCGAGTCATATGAAAGATATTTTGAACATATATCATACATATTGAACTCACGAATCACTCACTGCGAACTAATCACTCACTGCAAACAAATCACTCTCTACGAACTAATCTTTCACCGTGGACTGATCTTTCACTGCGAACTAATCTTTTACTATGAACAAATTACTCTCTGCAAACTAATCTTTCATTGTGAACTAATCTTTTGCTGTGAACTAATCGTTCGTTATGAACGAATCACTCTCTGTGAACTAATCTTTCGCTTCGTTCTCGCAGATTCGTTTCATTTGTCACGTGACAGAGAGCTCGGGTCTCTTTTGCTCTCATTCATCTTCACATTGTGGTGTGTTTTTATTTCTTAGTTTTTCGCATGGTTTTAATTGTTTATGGCATTTTGTGTACTTTGAAGACTTAGGGCTAAATAGGGCTAAAGCGCCACCTGCTGTAAAACGAATGAAATGATTAGTTCAAGATTCGTTCACAACTCGTTAATTTTACTGTTCGACAGTCAAAGATCCGAATCAGTAAAAAAGAGTCGGTCTTCCCATCACTAGTTAGCAGTATTTATCTCTTTCAGAAGTTTCGAGAATATTTCGTAGAGAATAGAGAATCCTGATTGGCTAGGTCCTATTACATTTCTGTGTAGGCGGAGCTTGACTGCTTTTAACCAGCCGAAATACACAGCTCACTGTGCGTCGGGGAGC